GATATCTCACACAAACTCTTTAACACCCTCATTGACAAGACAGATGGCATAGTATTAGGTCGGTTCAACATATCAGTATATTGTGGAATGCCGTCGTCTTTTGCTACTACGGCCAGCCGCTAAGAAGAGGACACTAGGAAGAAGCATTAACGAAGCAGAACCCCGAGCTCCTTTCCACTCGTGCCATTCCCAACAACTCAATTAAATCAAGCTGCCCAGAATGGCATCTAGGCTTAAGATCCTCTATACTAGCTAAACTTATCTATCCTTATATATCAATGCTCCCAGTTAACTCATAAAGATTAGGACCATTGCGATCAAGTATCAATACGTTCTAGGGGCACATTAGGCTCATATCGCCCTTGCTGAACTTAGTATTTAATATAAAGAATATACCCCTATTTCGGATCTATGAACTCTGGAGTAGCTAAGAATTAACCCGCGTAGAGTAGTGTCATCGGTGTCCTATAATGGTAAGATTATCACCAAATCAGCTCTTTTCGCCAAGTTCCTAGCCGATAATAATCTATCTCATCTATAGTGCCTTCTAATAGCATGGATAGTGCCCCCGAAAGGCCTGCATTATCTCCTTTTTTGATGCCTCTTTTGGCAAGGTAAATAAGTTCTAGGGATTCAGGTTTATCTCAGAAAAGAGGGTTTTTATTGCTATTAGGGCAGATGCTCATTGATAGAGATTTAATATTAATAATAATGTTTATGCAATTGCCTAGCCTACACGATATGTCATATAAAGTAGTCTTTAGATACAGAAGTATATACATAGGAGAGTCAAACGTCATTAGGGAAGCAAACAAGCAGGTCGAAGAAGCAAAAACCCGCAAACTAATCAAATCCCTCCTAACGAGACGACTATTTAAACTGCCTGCTATGCACGCGTGCGGCCATTGCTGCCGCGATCGGCTTTAACTAAGGCATCTACCTCTTTTGTAATATCGGTATACGGGAAGATTGACCGGTCCAGGCCCGTCGCGGCATCACCAAATAGAAGCGAAGAGAGGTAAATCGAATTCGTTATCTCAACCGCGGTCGTTATCGAGAATCCCTTTGTGTGCGAGTCCGAGTTGAAGATAACGCCAAGGTACTTGGCATATCTCCAATAGTCTTTGCTCAAAAATACCGTGATCGCGCCACTCCCTCCCAGAAAGTCCTCGGCACAAAGGACAACCTGCTAGCCGTAGCGGCCTAGAGCAATAATGGCGTCGCAAAAGGCGGATATATAATTCGATGGCATGTTTAAGATTAGGACTCACTTCGGAACGGGTGAGGGAGACGTCATGTCGAACGTAACGAAATCGCCACGTTGGCTATCGCTAACCAGGAGCTTGTTCTGGGCTAGCAAGGAAAGAATTCCTATATAGAGAAATGGTTATGCTATTACATTGACGGCAATCTCACTGGACATATAAAATGTCGTTACTGTACCATCAGGAGCAACCTTGGCGATGCTATAGCCGCCAAAGGCGGCGGGAGTATAGGAGTTGCCATAGCGGTCCTCAGCCATATCCTAGAAACCAGAAACTAGATGCCCATAGGTGCATCGATACTCCTCTTAAAAGGGAGCTAGATCTGCGATATACACAACTTCCTTCGCCTTTGGGTCCCACTTGATGACTTTCTGCGCACCCGAAAGGTCCTCTCCGTTGGTTTCAAAGGCCGACCCTGAAGGGGCGCTAAAGAACATAGCACCACTACTGGCATCATAGTCAATCCCTGACAGGTGATACGGCTGTGTGTGTGTAATCCCCGGAAAGGTTATAACCTCGTGCTCGGTGGTATAAGGATCGTAAACCACAACTAAAGCATTATACAGCGAGCTACAGAATGCAACTTTTAGTAATATCCAGCTAAGACATTGGATAGGTGCGAAACACTCACCTCAGATAAAGCTTGCATTCGACTAGGTTAAAAGCCGCATTCTCAGGATATAGCTAGAAGATATCCAAAGCAAAGGATCCGTCAAAGGGTGGACAAGGCTTGGCAATAAGGTGAAAGGAGTGGGGAACAGCTGCCGCTGTAGCAGACAGCGTCAAACCGCTGAAAGAAGCCAAGTATAGTGCATTGTAGAAATCGATATCAGCCATGCATCTACAGTTTTGAGGCCCTTTACCCTAAGTCGTATTCCTAATGGGAATATTGTTCTTATATGGGGCGCTCTATCCCACTCTTTATCCCACATGCTATCCCTCCCACACCCAATCCCACACGCTATCCCACATACGAACCCGAACTGTATCCCGCTGGCAACTTAAACTGGGTTACTAAGATACCGCGCGGCAACGGCGTAACTACTCAAAGGAAGTCTAGAAATTACAGCATGAGCTAGCGAAATGAGGCTTATTCCAGGGATTGATTAAGGAGCCTTCCAGAACCCACTAAGCAGGATATATCTTGAAAGTGAGGGTTACATAGCTTAACCTTACGAAGACCTTAAACGAAGCTTATCTCCGAACTCTGTAAGATCAGCTGCTCCTAGTCTTACCTGAAGTCGGATTGGGCATGCTCCGTGGCAGCCCTTAAGCCCTTCGAGTAAGAAGCCAGTTGGCAAGGTGCTTCTCATGCACTGGAGAGAGGGGCATTTACGAGCGCACCAGGCTAGCAATTTAGAACAATAATTCACCACAATTGTGATTTCTGGCCATTCAGAGTTCATCTAGCAATTAGTACTAATAGAGTTTCTCTAGGAGTGGATTATTACGAGAGGATATGCACTTCATAAACGGGCAAGGAGCATTACTTCGACACAACGCCTAATAGACCTGCCCAATATTCCCAGTGAATCACCTCATCTCTCTACGAGCCCAATCCGGCTTTAAGCGCTGTTATCGATGTTAAGTACGCCAGTGCCCGCTATTCCCATTCATGGGTGCCTTCACGAACACCCTTATCAAATGCATAGCCAACACCCTCCAAAGTCTAATTAATCACCCGGCGTTTTCCATTCTGAAGCTTCGTGGCCATCGCGTTTCCCTCTAGCGCCAAAGTGTCTCCGCTGCAGGTCAAAATAACAACGGCCTCAGGGAAAAGTGCAGGATCCGCGAATATAGGGGAAATGCGAGGATCTAACCGCAGTGAATCGTCTGGGATATAGCACGCGTCGAATATACGCGCCACAGCTACTAGAATTAGTCGTATCGGATGAGGGACGGTCTTCGCTTCGGGATCAATAGATAGGTCCACAGGAGGATATATCGCGACGGTGACTTATATTTTGAGGGCGGGATAACTGTCTTTCAGGCACGATGATGCCACCAAAGCCAAGTTTGCGCCGGCACTAAATCCCGAGACAGCCACGCGTTCCAGGTCGAACTCTTAATGCCGGCTTTCTACCCATCTTAGGGTGTCCTCGACGTCATGGACGGCTCCGGGGAACGGCACCTCGGGCCCTTTGCGGTAATCGGCATCCAAGACGACAAATCCAGTTTCTTTTGCAACACGAGCGCAAAAGTCATAGTCGCTACCCAGGCTTGGAAGCACAAACCCGCTCCCGTGCCAGTTCACAACGACGGGCTTCTTTATAGCCAACGAGGGGGTGCCGTCAGCAGATGGAGAGTAGAGCCATCCATTAATAAAGCGGCCTAAATCACGCGACGGAATGCGAATTGCTTTTCGCTCGAGGCCAGTCGGTAAAGAGAGATTCGCTTTAGGTTATTGCCACCATGTGATGAGTCGCATAAAAACAACGGAGAGTTTAAGGCGGAGGTAGCGGAAGAAGCCAATCTACGCCATGGTTTCGAGCGAAGTTAAGGGAAGGCAAATATAATGAAACAATTATTCACGATATCGGGACCGAAAAATGGCAGACATCGATATCAAGAGGACAAACTGAATGTTTCAATGGGTCAATAGGGTTCCCGAGGTGACTCCACTATGGACATAAAAAAATAACCACAGTGCACAACACTATTCCAATTCAGACATAACAAGGCCTTTAAATCATAGGCTGAAGACGGAAATAACGGAGCGGGGGAAATCAAATCATCGCTTTCTCAAGTGCGGGGGACATTGCCGAGGCACGGCAATTCTTAAGTTCTATCGGCTCCTTCATCTCATAAGAAAGGTTAAGCGCCGTTATAAGCTTACTAATCATTTCAATGTTACGGGGAGTCCATAAATGAATGAATAGAATCCATTCCGCACGCCACGCAATTTACAGTTCCAACCAAGAGTTGCAGAAAAACGTAGAGCTTTTAGGAGATTTTATTGAACAGAAGGCATATGCTAGGGTATCACGTGCGGGTCAAGAATCTTAAGAGTGCTTATGGATACGGTAAATCCTTCAGGGGCAGAGGCACTTCCCCAGAGACACACAAGAACACCACACGAATACACTGATCTTACGTCAATGGACCGAATACACGTACTGTCTGACAATTTTCATTAGACCAACCCCACTATTAATGCCAAGGTGTGGAGATTACGAGGATCTAGGGACAAAGGAACCCCAGTCAGCGACCTTCCTTGCGCAACAGGCTAGTCAGCATCCCTTTCAGCCCGCAAGGGCGATTAGACGTCCTCACATCCGAGCAAGGCTTGACTTACGCCGCTTAGAAGCTGCAGAATGACGAGGGATAGTTTGGCTCAGAACTTCGCCCACTTTCCGAGACGCCACCTTGCGTTGCGTGGCCCCGGATTGGCTGGGGCAGTTTGCTGGAACGGTCTTTGGCCCTGATCATAAGCGGGGGTCAGACTAAACCCGGGTTCATGTTTTTTCAATAAATGAATGCCAAGACACGCTTTCCTTGATTTAGCACTAATTCTAGCGGGGGATATAAGAATTAACCGTCTCAAATGCATACTTACGCATAATGATCGCCACAATCATATATCGCGCCAGCCGGCAGCTTCCGCGGGCTTCGGATTGCCTATGAAGGCAACCGGGGATAACGATCATACCGATAATTATGATACCAACTGAACCCGGCGAGAGGGGGTGTAACGGGTGTAACGAAGCTATTCACATATTCTGATTATCGTCAGAAATGGCAGCTAAAGACGAGGGAAATGAGGGAAATACCGACCTAATCGATAAAGACGGCCTCCTTGACAATGAGGACCTTCTTCGCCGCTTGGCAATAGAAGATCACGTCATTGCCGACCATCACCGGGTTCTCATCTTGTTACGCTTCCTTGGAGCCATCGAAGAAGAGAGACCCTACCGGCGAGGCCGCCGCCGCCGCCGTCTGCGCACGAACACTCGGCTCGCTCGTCAGTATGCCTTATGGCTGCTCGGCGGGGACGATCACAGACACATCATTTGCCTAACTAGCAACTGTAGCTTAACTTACAATGTCGTTTCTTCACTTAGCGAGCAATATGCAGCGTGGCGCGAAGTGCACAGCGTCTCGGCGCTGAACTTGGGGAAATTGGCGGTTGCAGGTCTTGATTTGGCTACCTTGAACTATAATAAATATTGAGACCGTATGACTGTTGGAAGAACTGAGAGTTCCCCCTTAACTTCAGGATCAAGATTAAAGTTTAAAGTCCTACGACTAAGGTTCAAAGTCCTAGATGGGGGTTATTCAAAGATATAAGGCCCCAAAGGGCCTCTCATTGAGATTATGAAAACTTAACTAAGAACAATTACAATTATTATAGTAAGAACTACCTATTATCAAGTGCACTCAGCATCCCTGCGCAATCCAACAACAATGACTAAGATAGTCCGATCTGCTGGTGGCTGGGATATGGATTACTATGTAAGGAGCTGTGCTCCTCTCAGACACATGTAACTTAGACCTTTCAACAACCCATCATCTTCCGCTCCCGCAATACTACTTCATCACCATATTCTTTGGGACTTACTATAGATGTTGACCTTGATCTCCATAGTCCCAGAGGGAAAACCTGGCAAGGCTCCTTGCCTATCTGTTCCATCTCCGCCGTACCCTGGGCTTATTCACCATCCCTCGGTCGACAAGAGGAATCCAGCATATGTTTACCGCGTAGCTCAGAGATATGTCTTAAATCGAGATTAAGCTCGCGAAGAAATCCCAGGCCATTCTATGACCATTACATTAAGGTCCACCGTCCAGCTAGGGCAATTCACAGGCGAAAACTAGGTTCGTGAAATCTATTATACTTTTGGTCTCCTTGAAAGTTCAATAACAATTGGCCTGAGCTTAAGCCCAAGGTCAGCATAGGGGCAGTCGCAGGGTCATCGCGGAGGCCTCGCGGTACTAATCTGCGACGTATCATGACCAGCAACAATACAGTCCACCCGTGGCCGAGATTTGATCGGGGGTGATTAGCATATATCCCGACTGGGAACAGGAGAAGTCATAGTGCTTAGAACCCCAGTCTAGCTATCCACCTATGACCTTCTGCGTGAATTGTATCCGTCCGGTGCTTCTGACAACTCTTGCCCCTCTCCCAAAGAAGCAACATAACTCCAGCCTTCGTTCCGCCTAAAGGCGTTTTCTGATGAGCCTGTCCGTGTCGGGGACGATCCGCCACGTAGACGTAGCAACGGACGCAGTGTCGGCACACATAGGCAGACAACAGCGCAGCACAACTCGGCTATTAACCAGATAGCCGGAACAACTATGTGCCAGGTCTAGTCCACGATCGATTTAGTCTTGCGTAGTAAAAAGATCCGGATGACGGAGATAACACAGGTACTCAGAAGCGCAATTCAGTTAAAGATCCCAGATCAGGGCTAAGTATACTTACAAGAACCCGATACAGAAAATACCAAGCAGTACCGCTTTCTATAACTTCCCAACGCGTAGTATCTTTAGCAGGGGGATAGGCAGGCAATAAATGACGATGTCTATGACTATATTGATAGTTAAGTTAATATACCAAAAGACAAGCCTATTAATGCATTGGAGAGGCTATGGGTTAGCCCAGTCGAGAGAAGCTAGGATGCAGGTGAATATAACTATCAGTACAGATGCAAGCCCCCAGAGCAGCACGAATACAAGGAGGATATCGCAAACCCTCTGCAGCGTAGGCAGTGGGAGGCAGCGTCTATATTGCAGGAGGAACGCTGCCTTAACCGCTAACAAAGTAAGCTAATACAAGACGATATTGCAGACCATGAGCTTATATGTTAGAACATTATCTTTATATATCAAAATGAGGTTCTCACCTTCCACCACGTCTCAATATCTGCTTTATCAAGGACGTGGATATATCGACCAAGGCCATACCTCGTCCCTAATGCCGGGTTAGCCGATCACTTGAGCATACTAAAGGGAAGCATACGAACCTATAGCAATCGTGATGCCGCACCCAAGAAGCAAGACCTATCCACCGACCACAATATTGGGGATAAGCCACAATTCCTTCTATGCTTTAATGCAAGAAACATACCCAAGTCAATGCTACAGCCCAGTCATTATACCCAAATTGCTTAACGATAGCTACTCGGACGTAAAGGCGCAGGGCAGCACTGAGCGTCGCAAGAAAGAGGCAGACAATAGCGACTATAACAACTTTCGTCCCCAGGTCACCTTAAGCATCTAGTGGACTCATTTTGATTCTCAGCTAGTGTGAGAGAATGAGGCGCTCGAGGCTGGGATCTACTTTCGGATTATTCATTGGCTGCTCAGCGTCGCAAGCCGTAGAGATGGATAGGCACGGAGAGCTTGGGACGATTCGCATGCATTGTTTCTGTCGAAGCCGCAGGCCTCGTAATCATTCAGCGTAGCGACGGAGCGGGAGCGATAGTAAGTCTGTCTTCAGCACTGCAGGACTGGACCACTGGAAATACAAAAGCAAATACTGTGGGGTCTCATACACGCACAGCCGGCTATGCGTTTAATATCACGTGACTTTTGCGCACAGCCGGCTGTGCAAATAAGATTCGTTATGTAAGCCCAAAAAGGGGTAACATACTGCAAATTGGTGCAATTTGGGGCCCCAATTCAACGATCAACAGCTTCTGTGACATCAATTTAACTTGCCGCGCCTTCTTTCAGCTATGATGAACCCAATTGGCGTTCCCACTGCCTTCCCTGATGATGCTATGCCTCCTGAAGGCCAGTATAGCTCACGGGAGGAACTATTCGCCGCAATCAATGCTTGGGCAGCGCCTCGAGGCTATGCCTTTTCAGTCAAGACCTCTTGGAAGACCCCCAATGGAAGAACTGGGGTTATCTACAACTATGACCGCGGAGCAGGGAGACCCCCTAAGGTCAATCCGACGAAGAAACGGAAACGGAAGACCACAACACGCCGTACAGGATACACCTTCTCTATCACAGCAAAGGAGAGCCTATGTGGGACTATGTGGAATCTCACGCATCGCCCCGGGGCCGGCTTTGATCAACACAATCACGAACCAAGCTTCAGTGAACTAGCACATCCAGTACATCGTCAGCTATCATCCCCAGATAGGTTGACGGTCCATCAACTCAGCAATGCCGGCATTGAGCCAAAGAAGATCCAATCCTATCTACGCATGAACACAGATACACTTGCTACACAGCAGGATATCTACAACTGCATTGCACAAGGCAAGCGAGAGCTTGCTAAGGGTCAAAGCAACATGCATGCCTTTGCCAATGAACTTGAGAATGAGGGCTTCTGGAGTCAGATACGCCTTGACGAGAGTGGCAGAGTCACATCAGTGTTATTTGCACACCCAAGCTCATTGAGATACCTCAAGCTATACCCTGAAGTACTTATCTTGGACTGTACATACAAGATCAACAAGTACAGCATGCCTCTTCTCGATATAGTTGGTATTGATGCTTGTCAACGATCCTTCTGTATTGCATTCGCCTTTCTTAGTGGCGAGGAAGAAGGGGACTTCATCTGGGTCCTTGAACGGTTGCGGTATATATATGAGCATTATGGAGTAGCCCTTCCATCTGTGATACTCACAGATCGCTGCCTAGCTTATATGAATGCTGTTTCTTCTCCTTCTTGTTTCCCTGAGTCAGCCTTATTGCTATGCCTATGGCATATCAATAGAGCGGTCCTGAGCCATTGCAGGCCTGGATTCACTCGAGATAAAGACGATACTCAAGGGCAAGAAGAGTGGGATGCGTTCTTCAAGTCTTGGCATCAGATTGTGGCCTCAACGACTGAGGATATCTACAACGAGAGGCTTGAGAAGTTCAAGCAACGCTACACCCCTGACCACCTCAACGAGGTGGGCTACATCATAGAGACTTGGCTGGACCTCCATAAGGGGAAGTTTGTTAAGGCCTGGGTTCATCAACACCTTCACTTCGATCAATTCGTCACGTCACGGGCCGAGGGCATTCATCAGCTCATCAAATCTCACATAAAGACCTCAGCAATTGACCTTTTTGGGGCCTGGAATATCATCAAGCTCATCCTATCAAACCAGCTCAACCAGCTCGAGGGAAACCAAGCTCAGCAGCAGGCCAGCATACCTATTGATATATCTGGGCCACTATATAGTAATATCCGTGGTTAGCTATCACATAAAGCCCTGCGGCTGGTTAATACTCAACGGCAACGACTATTGAGAGAATATCCTGCATGTACAGGAGTCACTATGAGGACTCTTGGTCTGCCCTGTGCTCATATGATTCAGCCCTTGCTACAGCAAGATCAACCCCTTCTGCTACATCATTTCCACACACATTGGCTTCTCCATCGCCCAGGAACCCCCCGGCTTATCATTGAGCCTCACAAGCAATTTGATCGCCTAGCAGCTAGTTCAAAGCTTCCACCAACAAGCACACAGCGTGAGCCGTGTGCATCTGAACGTGTTGAGAAAGCACTACAGCGAAAGGCACCGCCAAAGTGTTCGAAGTGTGGTATACGAGGCCATAAGATGAACTCTAAAGCATGCCTTTTGCGTTACGACGATCTATTGCCGGCTCCTACTCAAACCTCTACAACAACACATATCACAACACATTCAACCACTCGCTCTGTGACCCGCTCGCTATCCCCATCAGGGTCCTCTGTGGTATCTGAGACTATAGCCTGCACAACAACACATACAACAACACACACAATAACTCAGGTACTATCTCCTCCGGTAACTAGATCAGCAACTGTTGCTGCAGGCGGTGCAAGAGAGAAGTCCCCATTGCGAGGTGATCATGCCCTTGTTATCTTCCAACGATACAAAGAGGCACGAGAGGCCTAGTATGCTACATTGACCAGGAGAGCTCAGAAGACCGATCAACTGTACCGGAAGGCTATGAAGCTGCCTCAGAAATATGCAAAACGTGAATATGAATGGTGCCTTAATTATAAGCAAATGGGGCCCCGTTGCCAAGAGGAATCAAGGGACTGGAGGCAGGAGGAGATGATAAGTTATATTGATTAGGATAAAGCTAAGACCAAGCGGGTTAAGGAGAGGATACAGAAAGAAATAGATAAGCAGCCTTTCTCACGGCACAGAGGAGTCAAGCATGTCTGGGAGGCTACTGAGAGAGATGTTAGATTACAAGGGGGGGGGCTCTAGTGGCGGGAACCCCCTTAAGAACATTTGCAGTATTGACGGGAAAGGTAAGTGGTATATATCATTCGAATCAGAAAAGAAAGGCAAAACTCCGAGTATATATACCGTGACCCAATGGCTCGATTTAATGGGGTTGTGGCCGAGTTCACATGTAGGGTCAAGTAGGCTATGTAGTTAGAGATATAGTAAGTACTAAAGCAATGTATTCATTGAGCTATTCTGTGACCTCACTGCCTCCCTTGCCAAATCCACTGAACGTAGCCATTTCGATCAACATTGCACACATGAATCCCCGACATCTCTGCGGCGTAAAGGGCTGGTTGATAGTTGGTCATACCTACAGCTGGAGAGGGCCAATTCACGCCCGGGACGCCAATTGCCTGTTGGCGATAGAATTGATCCATCTGCTGCAGATGGCCTCGAGTCCACATCGGATTTACACAGTGTGGCTAACAAACCGACCGTCTGACAGACCGTCTGACAGACCACCTTCAGACCGCAGTCCGACCGACCGGCCATTCTCGTCAGACCGACAGACCAGAGCTGCCGGTCGGATTGGGTGGTCTAAGTCGGTCTAGGTTAGTGGTTTCCAGGCGTCCCATTGGTCGACTCAGCCTTCAGGTACCCGTGCCATCCCCACTTGTTCGGCCGTTCGAGTTTCGCAGTGCCAAAATAAGTGGGGCAGGGCAAAGGTAGCCAATGAGAGAATCAGCTAATCAGACCAAGACCGACCAGGCTGCTAGCCCAGACAGACCTAGACCGACAGACCGAGAGTCTTAGTGAACCCAGACCGACAGACCGAAGGGGCCGGTCTAGGTCGGTCGGTTTGTTAGCCACACTGGATTTACATCAGGGTCAGTGCGCTGTTGCCGTTGGGTTATCTAATGACCGAGGTACCCAACATGCCACTCTCCTTCAAGGTGATACCCCCCCGGCCGTGGTACCTCGCGAAGGGCATCACCTTGAGGACCGTATACGGTATTCCGTGCTGCTACCAGGGCTTGAGGGTTCTGCCTGTACAGGGAATTGGGGGACCTTGGGTCACTTGGCAAGGTATGCTGATTCCACCAATGCTGATATGTCATTGGGTTCTGCATTGGATGACCCATACCACGCGGCGGTTGCTGTTGATTGTTGGCAATAGGCTGAAGAACAAACTGTTGGTTCTGATTAGAGGCGTAAGTTAGCCCAGGTTGCGTTGATGTTTGGGGGCAGATGTAGATGGGCACATTCTGAGCGTTGTTTTGGTTGAAGTAAGACATCTTGACGGTATCTTGCACTGCATTGATATGAAAATGAACAGCTTCCTACGAGGGAGAAGCCTCTGCTTTATATACTATGATATGTGAAGTGATTCACTCGTACCGTAGCGCCTGTGGTGTCATGAGAGGCATTGTGTCTTCTTCACCGGTCCTAGGCAGATGAGAATAGATCATATGTAATGTATTGAAATGACTGTAGCTACATGTGATCATCTCATCTCTCAATGGCGTGAATCAATGCTATTTCAATTGATCAAGGGGTGACCCTCTTACTCACACACACATGTATCGGGCTTACATAACGAATCTTATTTGCACAGCCGGCTGTGCGCAAAAGTCACGTGATATTAAACGCACAGCCGGCTGTGCGTGTATGAGACCCCCTAGATAGCCTAGTTATTAGAAACATAGACCTAAAGTAAAAGGTATTTCTTAAAGGACTATAAATTCGGAATTAGACTTTATTTATTAAAGCTATTATTATTAATAGCTATGCTTTAATTCTAGGTATAATCTATAAGGGGAAAGAACTATAGAAATAGTAGTTTCTTAATAAATTTAAGGAGATAATAGACTGATATTATATAATATTACCTAATAGATAAATTAATTATTATCTTAGTATTAAATAACTTAAAAGAATTTATTTACCTTAGATAATATTAGCTAATATCTTTAATATAAGATTAATTATTTTAGATAATTATAAGAGCTATATAATAATATATTCTTTATTTACCTCGGTTTAAGATTATTACTTAGTAATAAAAAGATAAATAAATAGCTATATACTTTTAGAATAATATTTATTATTACTATTTATTAGCTTATTACTCTTATAGACTTTAATTACTTAATAATAAAGTTTTTAATACCTTTAAAGCTATATATTAATAAGAATTAAAAAAATTCACTTTATTAATTAATTTTACTCTAATAAATAAGGTTAATTTTATTAGGGTCTATACTAAGGCGCGTTAAGTTAGAATAACTAAGGATATACTCTCTAGCTAGAGGGTTATTATAAATTAAATAATATTATATACTAAGGCACTAAGATATCTAGAAATCTAATAAGATAAGCTAAAAGGTAAAATAAAAGTAATTCTTAAACCTAGGCTATATTTTAATTTAGATAATATATTAAAGATAAGCTATTAAATTTATAATCTTAGGTTAAATAAAATACTAAAGATATAGAGATAATATAATATAATAGCTAAGGGTTTTAAGGCTTAATAGTAGATAATAATAATATATATTATAAGGATTATTAGCCTAGAGGAGGAATTAGCTTACTTAAAGAGAGAGAAAAAGAGGAAAATAATATTAAATCCTAATAAATATTTTATAACTCTTAGGGAAATCCTATCCGGTAGAGAAGCTATAATAGAAGAGGAGACCTAAAATATAGCTATTAGACTAAAATTAATCTATTTAAGCGAGTAAGAGTTAGAATTAGAGGCTAGCTATATTATCGAAGTTAGAGAGGAAATTATACCCTATTAACTTACTATGCGATTAAGGCGGCTTATTAAAAAGCCTAGGGTATAATAAATAAACCTACTTATTATTTATAAAATGAAGATTTTAATATATTTCTATTAATTTACTTAAGTTCTATGTAAGTAAAGTTTGTGATTTTTTAGTGGTAGCTTTTTTATTTTGCTTGCCTAAAGAGGGGTTGTGGATGGTACTTTCGAAAAGTCGTCAGCGGTCCGTACCTCAACATCGCCAGGGCACTCACCATTGTGAGTCGAAGCCAAAAGTGGACCAACATTCCATTCTCCGTCATGATCGAGGGATTGAATAGACTACAGCCTCGCTACTATTCTATTTCATCCTCATTTATTGCCCAACCTCTTCATATCACGACCATGACATGAGCCAGGCGGGGAAACATAGCAGAAACACTCTGACTAAGCAAGGGACCGAAGGGACCGAACATCGCCCGCATCGGTCTAAGGACCGAGCGTTGAAAACATCGGTCCTACCCTGGACCGAACCCAGAGAACATCGGTCCAAGAAATCAACCACAAGTATATAGAACGCATTCATTACACTCTCTGATATAGTAGCTACCTCAGCTATCAATACAACTTGGTTACACTCAATACCCTTGAGTACATTACCAGACGTAACATTACACCACCCTTCAAGGCTACGCAACATAATCCAGTGCCGATATAAACCAGTACGAACCGATTTATCCCTCGGGAATTATCCTCTCGTCACACTTCAGGTTTCTATCACCGCTGTGGTCGAGACCAAGGCAGTACGCGGCAGGGAAGACCCGTTCCGAGGAGTTGCAAGTAACTACCTCCTAGCCTTGATGAAGTACCAAAGCAAGGGGCTTGATTCGATGCCGAGCGAATTGCCCCTGAAGTATGAGATCGGTGGCCCAAGGAACAAGTACAATGGTACCCATCTTCTAGTTCGCCTTCGGAGCTCCAACTTCAAACTACCGGTAGTCACCATTACCCATTGTAACCTCTCCACGCTGCCTGCTATGCGAACATACCTAGGCTATCGAGGAAAAGCATCAAAACCATAGTGGACGACTTCACGCGCAGCCTGAGCCCTACGCAATGACTAACATCAGGCATGCGCAAATCACTCCCCCGAGATGACATAGTGATGCCGTCCACGGAGGATCCAATCCACCGAGACAAATAGCACGACAGCCCCAATCAGCGCGATAGACCAGTTCATGTTGTCTAGATGAAACACAAAGTTAGCTACTGTTCTTAACGCTCATAGTAAAGCGCTGGTGAAAGCACGGATTTCACTGACAGATATTTTCCGCGTTCACTGGGACATAGAGTGGGAAACTATTATTAGAGGATCAAGCGTTAGTATCAAGCCGTGGAAACGCGGAGAGAGAATTCAGGACTTACACGAGCATGATAAGGATTAAAGATGACCAACAAGCCGAGGCGATGTTAATGACACGTCCCAGTGGCCCAAGATTGAACGATCTCGGGACGGGAAGGGCACGACGACCACGCCAAAGGAGCTGGGAGGGTTGCAAAGGTCAGCTTTAGCAACCTCGGAGCAAGTATTGGAAAAGTGCGAAGAGCCAATAAGCAAAAACATACCATTAATACTGGGGTCAAGTAGCCAATTTGTATCGCTGCTTGACCAAAACTAATAATAGCCTCGAAGGCATAGTCACTTCCGAAGGCTATAAGACCTGTGTCTGTGTTAGATGGTTTGTGATGGGTTATGGGAGACGGGCAGGCCATGGCCATTACCAATAGCCATCTCGATAACAACGGCGAGCAAGATGGTATAAAGCGGAGTCTGAACTACGGGGTTGATCTTGACGAAAATGTGAGAGAATGGCAAAGCATTATCCCTCGCCATACCCCAGGCAAGGCGAGAGACTGCAGTATTGATGCCGATGATAATGAGGAAACTGAGCTTGGTTAGAAACAAGGCAAGATGTTCTGGAATGGAATTAATAACCTACTTGAGAAGTATAATAATGATTGAGAGGAAGGCAACCGCTCCTCCCACAGTGTTAAGCGTGTCGACAAACCAGGGAATATAGGGAAGACTATTTTTTGTCAGATAAATTCACAGTTTGAAGAAAACATAAGGAGTGAAGAATATCGTTCTTTTTATAACTTACTCAGTTTCCAGGTATTCCTCCCAGTTTCCGCAGCAAAAGCCCATAATTAAAGCACCAGTAAGAGAAGTAATGCCGCTAAATAGCATAGACCATATCATGGCTCTCTAATGGCAAAGAAGGGAAGAAAACCCAGTCAGTCTTGATCCATGAGTTCGAACCAATGTTTTGGCAAGACTTACAGGGGCGGTTTTCTGAGCATCCTTCATCTCCTCAGCAATATGCAGGATCCCATCAGTACCATAGAGAGCATAAGCGGGAGCATAGAAGCTCATGATACCAACCCAGCCAGAGCTTGAATACCCCGAATTATTCATAAATTTGGCGAAGACAAAGCTAGCGGGCTGCTTCGGTGACAATGTTAGGAATGACACTGCCCATGCAATGCCACCTCCTAGGGTTATGCAACCGCCGATAGTTGAAATCAAAGGCAGATGCCTCTGGGAGAAGGTGAAGAGTACTGATAGGACAATGTTGGCGACGTACATCAACCAAGTGGACCATCTCTATATTGCATGGTTGAGCGCCCAAGGAACTGAACACGGGGAAATGTTGGCAGGGACTAACCGTCATTTGAAACTCTGGATGGATGACTTGAACTATGGCGCCGATCATCTGGGCGTTATTCATAGCACAGCTCGCCGACGCAGCAAGGTCACCGACGAGAACGAGCCATCCAACAAGGTAGGACAAAAATCGGCGGACCCTACGATGAGTTAGAGGGCCGGCAGCTTGATAACCGATGGTTGGTTGATGACTGACCTGGCGGGGGCAAGGTTTTTGGTAAATGCTCTGAATTTGTGACAATGGCGTTAGTGGGGGAGGGAGGCATCCCAACGTCTCAGAAGTACTTACTGCTGACCGCCAGAGTAAGGCCAAACAGAACACATCTCGGCGAGAGAGCTCATTAATAGACATTGGCCGATGCAAACGATAATGCTGTGACCCAAAATTAGCTGCTTACTACCATGGAGGCCCGGCAATATGCCCTATTTCAGTTCTCTGGCAGACTTACGTGGAGTAGATCAACATCATGGGGCCACCAAGGTCGAAAATAGTACTATACATAACAAGGTTGCAAGTCCAACTTGCCATCATCAGAACCTGATACGCGCTTGCTAGCAGTCGAGACGATGACCATGTCAGTACATGCAACAAGCGAAAAGGGGAGTGTAGTAGAGTGGGAGTGGCGGCCGCCAAATACCAGTCCACATGTTATAGACCCTATGCATGACCTCGTGGTTTGGCCCTGTAGATGTCATCAGTTTGTCATCACTGATGTCACCGTGGGCGATGGACTCCTTGTCCTTGTCGGCGGCCATTGTGTCGCGATACTGTTCAAGAATGAATGGACAGCAAGGTGCCAGGATGAGGGCGAAAAAAGAGGAGTGATGGGGAAAACTGTGAAGGGTAGAGTCGTTTCACGTGCAACTGTAGGTCCTCAGCGTGGTGTTTTTATAGTGAGAACTTGCTATCACAAGGCACACGTAGATGGGAACCCCTTTCTTAACTGGCTGTGTTGGCACTCCCAAGATGATGGACCCGTTTGACCGGATGTTGCAGACTAATCTCGAGCCCCCAGACGATGGGTGGGCCTGAATGCGGGGAAATGAGCAGGGATAGATAGCCCATATGGCCATTCCTCCCCGCAATGCCCGGCATCCCAGATAAGAAGTTCAATACGACATTAACTGGCACATGAGCGAACTTCAAATAGCGGGGTAGATTGATCGAATAGGAAGCTCGATACGATCTCAACGCCACCCCCCCGGGCATGGACCCTTTACCAACCTCCAGGATGGACATGATACGCGACTCAGGTGGTGCTATCGCACACCTGGGCCGCAAGCCAGTGCTCTTGGTCTCGGTGTGTCCATCCCCGAGGTAAAGGTCACACGCATAGCCTTGATTCGCCTTGGGTGGGGCAGGGCTGAACTCGAGCCCATGGAGAATGATGAACGAAATTGTGGGAATTACTGTCATCAAGGCTTTGTTAAAAAGTAGCCTCGCAAATTCTAACTACCTACGCAGCCGCGACCTTGCAAGCTATGGAGGGCTGGTTTGTTTCACATGACAAAGAGTTGTAACTGGGGCAGTAGAACAGTCCATCGCTCATCAGGGTTTCGCGCCCATATCTTGCGCAAGGCCTCCAGCCCCATGGCCAAGTTCATAAAACCATTTGTCGCATATCTGCTCAAGAAAAAGTTGGAAAAAAACTCCTTGTGCTCTGCAAGCCGACAGTCGGAAGCCGCGATGAAGCATGCCCACGTGAGGACTTGTTTGCCCGGAGAGTCCTTAGGGAATGCCTCCAACGTATCAATGAAGCGCTGCACACGGCATATAGACGCTATAGCATGCCTCGCCCTTATCTGTGGTGCCGCTCGAGCTCGAGAGCCAGGCACGGCTTGTTTCATGTATATCTCGCATGCCTGACGTACTAGGTTGGGCACGATGGCGAGGGCGTCTGAATGCCGTGGGTTGTTTTGCAGACAATGATTCAGGCAGTCGAACATCTGGGTAACTTCAGCCTCGGAGGAGATCACGTCGATACCAGCGTGTTCGCTAAGCAGTGGTGCCGCATACACCTTCAATCTTGATCAAGCTCTTTGTTAGCCTTTGTTCTCGACGTTTGATCATGACAGTCACCGGTGTAGGGAAGCCTTACTTGTGAACCTGGCGGACCAAAAACTCGGCAATCTCCCCCGACCCAAGTTCCCCCTCTCCACCGATAGCATCGATTGCAGACTGTAGCATGCCAAAGAGGATTGGAAAATCGGATGATCCATTGACCATGACAGCAGTCAGGAGCAACAAGACTGTGATAAGAATGGATTGCTGATCTGACCTATCACAATATCTCAGCTGGCTGCGCTTTTGTAGCCCTTGGATGGCTCGGCCATAGTGGTCCTGCTCTGCTTTATCGACGACGAGGTCTTTGTGTAGAATTCCGGAGCTGTGGAAGAGCGATATTGCAAGGACTGCGTCCATGACAAGCTCATCGCTCTCTGCCATTGGTAGCATGAGGTAGCGCCATCCGTTGTGAGGACCATCTATGGCGATCATTTCGCTGGCGATGTTGTCCGAGTCTGTCGCCAGGTTAGTCGTTGACACTCGCAGCAATGCAAACGTGTGCCTCACAGTTGAGCAATAGGCGCCTCTTCCATGCGGGAACATGATCGGGGTTAGATGGAGGAATCATCAATACATTGTTCTCGCAGAAAAGATCAATCTCGGCAGCTTTTGGTCTATCGTCGTCGGCGTCCTGTTGATTCCCGATGTCAACCAAGGAAAATATATGGTGTGTTTCAAGTAATAGCTCCCACGAGATGGGCTGTTCAGAGTAAGCTTCAAGTGCTTCGTCGGGAACTTGCAAAGTATCTGCCGCACCGCTGGGTGCTATGTTGGTATTGGTATCCCCGTGAATCAATCGTCGTGGAGTGGTTTCTTGTGAGATAGCAGCCACACGCTGCTCGCCTGAACTATCGTTGCGTGGTTGTTCAGGTAGTGTGATGGTCTTGGCAACGTTGGACTTCACCTGTCGTTTCATGCTTGGGTTCCATGTCAGCGTCCTCAACGCCCAGAGATGGTTGAGGATGCTTACAGTGGATAAGCAGTATCCATAGTCTTGCCAGAGTAGTGACCTCTAGAAGCGACACCATTGCTGAAGCGGTGCCTAACACCGAGGCCGCTGCACTTCAGGCCCTTTGCGATGCATTTGCGACACTCGGGGGTACCTCTATCGCAGTTGACCCGGCGCTGAGAGCACTCATGGCACCCTTGATGATATACGATAAGCCTCGCTCTAGGTCTTGCTTTGCTTGGCTCACCTTTGACCTTTGCGCGGTAAGGTCGCTTGATCGGCGGCATGCCCTCAGAGGCTTGCGGGATACTGATTCCGCGTGTGTACGGTAGTTGATGGTCTCACCACAGTGCCTTCTGTTGGATATCTATATCCACAGCTGAGTCGGGGCTTGACAGACGGTGTGATCCGATGAGGGGATGCCTTACTAGGTAGGATTGAAGTGTGGGCGGAGGCAAAAATGTCGAAAGGAGAATGTGTAATGAGACCACCCTGTAATGCACGGCAACACCCCGCACGTGTAGCCTGGCAAAGCCGGCCTTCTGCCACATTCTTTGGTGCGAGGCCCTTGATAAGCCACCATGAGCTTACCGTATTGACTTAACCTATCCGGGTAGCGTCGGTGGGCTTTCATGCCCATGCTAGCCTCTCCTCTGTAGCGCCAATTGGCCAGTTATCTCATAGTTAGCTCTGTTCGGACAGTGATAACAACAAAGATCATGGCTTGCGAGCCTGCATATGCCCAACGAGCGGGTTTTGGTAGAGGTGTGATGACCTGCTGACGCTACCATGTGTTTTAGGTCGATACCGCAATCCCAAGTTGGTTACCAAGGACTCAGATGTGATAACTATCACTGAGTGAATTGATTTACATTAAGAAGCGAAGTTTTGCTTACTTGCTACAAAAATGGCATTAAAAATCTTATGACTGCCGATATAGAAGATTAATAATATTAATATCAATGTTACGTTGCTTTGTAGCATTGGGTTCCGATTCGTTGTGTGTTAATACCGTCTTCTCTGCTATTATGTTTAGGGATGTCATTAAAACCATGAAATAATGGCATGAACAAGTAGGTACTAGCCGATGCTAACGACATTGCGAGACTCATTACATACGAGAATGGCAAAGCTCTTATTGACGCTCGCTCCGACGTAGCATGCTATATGTCGAGGAATTTGTCAAAGAGGCTCTCCAAATCTGTGGCGCTATCAAACCCGTATCAGTGACTGGCAAGCACGTCTTATCTTGATCCAACCCCGAGTGCAGGAGGCACCATCGTCCTCAAGAGTACTGGGAAGCCTCTAATTACTGCCAATGAACTATGATAGCTGACACGAAGAGCGAAAAGCCCTCCAGCGTCGAGGCCAATACTGTATCCATCGGCGCACTATGAGTACACTCCCGCATCAACAAACTCTCATCCACAGGAAGTAGCGCTGTTGGCAGGGCTTTGCTCACAGAAACTGTACCCAGTTTCAGGAAGCTGTCAATGGAGCTGGGCAACAACTCCCGAATCATCATCTGGTCTGCGTCGTATACAAAATCAAGGATCAGACTGATAAAACAGATGATAGTATCAAAACATAATGCTAGAAAACACCATAATAATCTAGGTTGCCAATCTAGAGTCGTGCCTTGATGTCTACTGGAGCTCCCCTGTCCAAAGAAATCCTGAGATGTCGAATTCGGTCATCAGTAGCAAATATGGACTTGGGAAAGTCATCGTCTGGCTTCTCTCCGAGGATAAGGCCCGCAACCATCCGGGAAGTCAGGAATGCCTTGACCATACCGGTGGCATGATATCCCCCACAAACCCATTGATGAGAGCGTCCAGGGAAAGGCAGCCGACCAGCAAAAGGGACAGCATCTTGAGAGAAAGCCAAGATGCCAGACCACTGGTGAGAAATCTTGGTAGCGGCATCTCGGCAAGGACTGGCGAGGGCTTCATGGGCAAAACCTCGCAGATGTGACATAGGGCTTAGGTCCGTCTCGCTATCATCACCCACTGCCTTACGGCCAGTGTTGGCCCGACCGACAATGGCACGCCCATCGTTGCGCTGGATGAGGTAGTCGTAGTCCTTGATACCGTATCGCAGCCAGAGCGAATAGTCGCTTCCGAGGCCCAATGGTGACTTTCCATCTGTTGTCGGAGCGTAAGCCATGACATTGCCTCTGACGGGAGAGATAAACGGTCGAAGCTCTGGTAGCAGGCGACCAAGCCAGGCGTTGGTGGCATGGACGACATTCCTGGCTCGAATTTCTCCCCGAGTGGTCTTGACAGTGGCGTGTCCGTCCCCCTCACGATCAATAATGCTTGTGACGGGCGTGTGTGTCTGGACGTTGATCTTGCCCTGGTCAATAAAAGGCCCAAGGACACCTGTGACCCATTTATAAGGCCACATTGAGGCTGCTGGAATCGAGATGGCGCCGACAGCGCGGGACGACAGCTTGAGGACGTCTCGTAGGTATGACTGATCTGTGTGGACTTGGTGCTTCTCCGCCAGGTGAGGTGCATGGGCACGCATGTCTTCAAGACTGGCAACGGCTTTGTCAAAGTCGTTTTGCTCGTAATAGGCCTCGATGCCCTGTGTGAGGACTAGATCGCAATCAATGCGATCTTCACGGATTACGGCGGCCATGGCTTCCAGATGCCCATGCTCAAAGGCCGAGATGCGCACGGCCTCTTCAATTCCAAACGAGTGCTTTCGCTCTTCCCACATGGCGAATGTCATGGTCTTGCAGTGACCACCGTTGCGGCCTGTAGCGCCGGAACAGAGGGATCTAGCATCGACCAAGACGATGCGAATTCCTGGCTTCTTTTTTAACAGGGTTCGTACCAGGGCCATGCCGGTAAGACCAGCACCGATAATCACAACATCCACAACCTCTTTGGGCCATTCTGATTGATGGTTGGCTCGAGGATGTGGTTGCGAATGCCAGAAAACGGCAGTTCCCTTTGTTGAGGGATAGCCGGGGTCGACCACGCCGGGCTCATAGATACCTTCCAAAGCACCAGACATTGTACCGCCTTACCGACGAAGTGGCGGGTTGTGAGGGAGCAACGATAGGATGAGAAGAGAAGGAGGTCTTTGGTCATGCAGATTGAGAAGCCGCAATGAATTGCGAGCTGACGTTGAATCTTTATCATCAAAACCGAAGAACGCCGGTCCGGCTGAAAGTCTCTTCAAAGGCCGACCCGGACCCAACTCAACGGTCGATCTGGTGAGGCAAGGGCAATGTCCGACCCGCCATCTCGGCGGTCATTGAGATGGGAAAACGAGTGACAACCTTGGCGAAGTCAGGGGCGATGGACCCCCTCATTGCGGGGGAGGTATGAGCTTTTCCCAGGCGGCAGCCAAGATGAGACCGCGAACCAGTAGGATACAAGAAGATCCTCTCCACTTGGTTCAGCAGGATACGAGAATTGCAATCCATGCTGCGCTTATCCCGAATGGGTGGGTCGGATGAGACCAACGGTGGCTGGGAGCAGCAGGGAGTCTAGATGCATTCATCACTTGCCTGACATTTCACGGCACGTTCGTTGCTTTGCGATTCGGAGAACAGCAGGCAATCGTCCGTTGGGCATAACGTGATAGGATTAATAAAGGTCAGCCTCGGCCACTAAGAATCGTTTACCATCATCAGCACATCTCTGTCTGACCTCACTCTTCTACCACCCACTTCATCACTTGTCCAGAGCATCTTTGCTAGATAGAGAGCAGTTCACCAAACCATATCACAATGTCTCCAAACAAGTCTGCTGAGGGCCACGAGTATGAAGTTGGTCGTGGCGTCTCTAATGGCTTGCCATGCGACGGGGTCATCACACCACCGAGCAACCTAGCTCAGAGGGCATCCAAGACATTCGACACTATCATCATTGGTGCTGGGTTCGCTGGTCTGACAGCTGCCCGTGACCTCACCGTGTCAGGCAAGCTTCCTCGCAGAATCCTTTCCCGGTTAGACTCAATACTAATCTCGTAGAATAGGCCATCGTGTTCTGCTACTTGAGGGGCGTGATCGCATTGGGGGTAGGACATGGACATCAAATGTTGATGGCCATCTGTACGAGATGGGGGGAACCTGGATTCACTGGGGACAGCCTCACGCCTACCGTGAAATGGTCCGCTATAACCTTCACCGGGATTTGGTTGTCACTAGTGATGTGCCCAGCCACCCAGGCTCAGTCTTGTTTGATGACAATGGCGAGAAGCAACAGATGTCACTGGAAACATATGCAAGCAGACCTCTCCCGGAGCTTGAGAGCCCCAACTGATAAAGTCTACAGGACAAGTTGGTTGATGACGTCTTCAAAATCTACTGCAATGTTGATGGTGAAGAAGGCAGAACGGCAATCCCATTCCCCCATGACTCCCTGTGCAACCCTGACGCAAAGGTTTATGAGTCCTTGTCCATCAACGACAGACTGGACCAAGTACGCGGATCACTGACCAAAACCCAGATGTGCATCCTCAAGGGTTTGATTGAAGGAATCGTTGGCAGCGAGGACTTTGACAATGTAGGCTTCTTTGACGTACTGCGATGGTGGGCCCTGAGCGGCTACTCGACCGAGGGTTTGTCCGAGTTCACAGAGCTATACAAGATCAAGGAGGGCCAGACGCATTTCGCGATGCAGTTCTTCAAGGAAGCTGTGCAATCTCAGAGGCTCTCTTACGTCTTCAAGACACGTGTCGTGTCTGTATCCGACAACAAGAAGGATTCCGTAACAGCGGCACTGAGTGATGGACGCCAATTCCTTGGTCGCCGCCTCATATCGACGCTGCCCCTCAACGTTCTCCGAGAAGTCAAGTTCGATCCTCCCCTGAGCACGGCTAGGGATGAGGCAGCACGTATTGGCCAGGTTCACAACGGAGCCAAGATTCACTTCAAGATTGGCGCCTCAGAGGCTCGTCCCTTTTCTGCCGTGCGCTACCCAAAGGCCAGAATGGTGAGCACACTGGGTGACGGACGCACCGGAAGCAACGGGAGCCGGCACATGATTACGTTTGCAAGAAACGATGCTTCACTGAGCACAGAAGATGACGCCAAGTCCTTCTATGCTGAGGTACGCGAGACGTGGCCGGGTATGCCAGTTGAGAAAGTGGTACGTACATTCTCACACGCCCACGATGGGCCTTATGCTGTTCGTCCGCAAGTGTAAAAGGTATGTGCTGACAGGTGGAATTAGCTCTGGCACGATTGGAGCCGTGACGAGTATGCCAAAGGTGGCTGGTGCATGTATCGTCCCGACTTTGCATTCCGGTACCAGGAGGCGTTGAGGGCCAGGGCCGGAAACGTCTTGTTTGCTAATGCTGATTGGGCATTGGGCTGGCGTGGCTTTATTGACGGTGCCATTGAGGAGGGAACTCGAGTTGCGTTTGAAGTCAAGAACGAGCTGGTCGCCTCCTCTGGTATAAAAGCAAATCTGTAATTGAGATGGAGTCTTGCTCTCCGCACGAACAAGTTGCGTACCTCGGGAAGTTTTCAGAGATTTTGGAAGCGTCCCTCTATGGATTAACTAGTGTTCCGTGGCGAAAAATCGTTTCCGGGAGGCCCTCTAGTTAGCTAGTCCCCTGCAACGCGGGCGGGGTACACATCTTATCAGACAACGCTCCCCCTCCGTCCCTTCCCAGCTTTTTGTCAATTCAAATCTCCTGTCACCTCCAAATCCCCTTGGCCTACTTTCTGTCATGTCCATATGATGCGTCAAAGGGCAGCTCATCGGAAGTCCCGTAACGGGTGTCTCAGATGCAAGGCTAAGAGGGTAAGTTCATGTTCACGCTACCTCATCCACCCCCGCCTGAAGACCCGTTGGCTTATCAAGGGCCATTACTGGCTGCAGACGAAATGTGATGAAGGTAAACCTGCATGTTCGCGATGCGTAGACCGTGGGTTTCAGTGTCCTGGGTACGCTCTCAACATCAGATGGCCTGAGGAACTTGGGGCTCAGACCCAGTGCGGCTCGCCGATAGGTGCTAGACGCTCACTGAGCTCACCGTTGTGCACGTCTGCTATTGTTCAGACCCCGACAGATCCAACTCTCGCCGGGAGCATCTCTAATCCCGTCGAAATGACGGCAAACATGGTAGAACTTGGACTAAACAGACCGGATTGCTGGGTAAGCCGTTCATTGCAGCTTGCAGGTCCCCTTCCCATCGACTATGAGTGGACCGTTGGTGATATTATGGAGCCTACAACATTGGAAGGCTCCCCAGCATTACCCATCCGGCTGAACTTGGCCCAATTCCCGCAGACAGCGCCGTCTTGGGATGCGACCTGTCAAGGCAGCATTCAAGACGGCCATTCCTACAGAGCGAGGAGCCAAATCCAACTCGATGGCCCGCCCGAGAGCACCACGAGCTCGCGCCGACGATCCAGCATTTGTCACAACCCCGCAGCTGAGCCCGCGCATCGGCCTGAAGGTGCCATAAGCAGGATATCCCATTTTGCCGAGACACCGCCAAAGCCGGCCATGGATCTGTCGTCTACACTTTGCGACTATTTCTTTAGACAAGTCATCGCCCTGTACTGCACATGGGACAGCGATTCCAATGATATGCGCATTTTGACTGGAAACATGTGGCAGTCCTCCGGCATCATATACCACACCATCCAAAGCATGGCTGCCTCCTGTCTGGCCAAGAACTTTCCGCATCTGGCCGCAGTAGCCAAACGGGAACGCTCTCACGCCGCGGAATATCTAGACGATAGAGTCAATGCTGTAGTCAGCAAAGAAGAGAGGCTTCTATCGCTTATGCTCCTGGGCCACACCGCCAGCTGGTTCGACCCTCACGATCTCGCCCAGGACCAGTTCCGTGATGCGCAGATCCTGACCAACTCCTGTGCCTCCGAGATGCAAAAAGGCTCAAACTGGCACTTCTTCGAACAGAGCCTGGACCACTGGGCGATGCTCCTTGCCTTTTTAACCGATAAGGGCGTTGATTCTAACCTGCCACCGCCGTCTATCGGCCCCGAGCAGCCGACACAGGGTCAAATGCCTCATCCATTCAGTGGCATCTCTCACCAGCTGGTCAGGTTGGTAACTGACACTGGGCGCTTGGTATTCAGGACTCGCAAGCGCCTGTTGACTCTCAGGTACATGACGGAATCCCATATGGAGGACTTTCGGGATGGGCTTCGCGAGGCACGCAGCATTGAACGGAGACTGTTTGCCTATGTTCCCATGGATGTCTCTTGCATGGTGGACCCGTGCGACGCATCAACCACACTGAACCACTTCCAACAAATGGATCAAGCGTTTCAGTACACGACTTTGCTACAGCTTTACCGTGCCTTTCCCGATCTGCTAGCTAAACGATACCAACCTTGGAACAAATACGAGATTCTTCTTCCACAGGCTGCACACGAGAAGCCAACACGCCAAGAGATGGACATTTGGCTGACCAAACTGGCAATGCATATACTTTCCATGTTGCAAGAGATCCCATTCGAGTCACCAACACGCTCCATTCAGCCCTTCATTTTCGCTGCAGTCTCGGGCGAGCTCAAGTATACACAGCATCTCGTCCATCTTTCCGATGGTGTGCCTATTCCCTTTCCTCACATAGATCACGCCTCAATCGAAGTGGCGAGAGCACGACAGTTTACGTTGACCCGCCTGTCAGCATATGGCAATATCTTGACAGTGGACAAAGTCCAACGGATATTGCAGCTAATCAATTGCGTGTGGGATGCCCTTGATGCAGGAGATAGTGACGTCTACTGGGTTGATGTAGCTTACAAGAAACAGTTGGGCACAATGATGGGATAGTTGCATTAGTCTGCAATTTGTATCTAATACAGTTCTATTGGGTTCCATCACTCTACAACTTGCCCTCTGCCGGAGCCTGCGAGGTCTTGGGAATCGAATCGAACTTGGCGAGTAGGTTGGCCATGGCCATGGCGTGTTCAACACGTTCTTCGGAAATATGATAGCACTTTGGGAACCACGCGTCCACCTCTTGGCCTAGAACCATCTTGGCCAAGGCTTCGCCGGTTAACCAGCATTTGTCCATCCCATATCCGTTGAAACCGGCGGCAATCCATTCGCCGGTACTGCCCGGTCTTCCGGTGACCTTTTCTGGGATCCTTCCAACCAAGGGAAGCCCGTCCGCGGTGTGGCCCTGGATGCCGGACCAGATACCCTTGATCTGCGCCGGTTCAGCCTTATCCCAGCCCTCTGAGAAGTATTTGGGCAGGAATCTAGACAAGGCTTCCCACGACTCAGAAGCGACATATGTATCATCACTCTTGAGGATGTCTCGTAGGTACGAGCTCTCAGTTCCGATCCAGATGTCGCCCGTGCGACCATTTTGCTGAAGATAATACAACCCAGAGTGGTACATGCGTGTCTCTGGGTCAAGCAACTCCTGGCTCATTCCACTCCAAGAACGGGAATTTCCCTTATTCTCGAGCGCCGAACCAGCCTTCTGAACAGACATGGTACCGCGGAAAGGGTAAACCTTGCCTCGCAAGGGCGTGAGAAGATGCGACGCGAATGCATTGGTGCAGTGGACGACCTGTCCGGCTCGGATGGTGCCTCGAGGGGTAACGATGGTGTATGGGTATTGATTCGGGTACCCATGGGCAATCGGGTCGTACTGTATGTTGGTTACGGGCGTGTTTGCTTCAATCGATAGCCGCGTAGGATATTTCTCCAACAGGAGGGCATATATTCCAGTCAGCAGACGATAAGGCCAAACTGCTCCAGCTGCATGCTCGATGGCTCCAAAGCCGTCCTTGACATTCCAGCGCTACATTTGCACCCCCAAAGATTAGCCCCAACACTCTTGGAAGTATGGCTCCACAACTATACGGCTTACCTCTTTGATGTCCTCCTTCTCAACAACCCGGTGGTAAGTCTTGTACTCTTCAACGGCCTTCTGGAAATCTCGAACAGACTTGACTGAAGCCTCCCATGTAGCCGAATCTCGGGCAACCATGACCTTGATGAGATCTCTGATCTGGCTGTACTCTTGAAGTTCCGGGTCCATTTCACGAACCATATTCAAGATGTGGTCAATGTTCATGATGCTGAACCGGGTAATCTCCTTGGCATTTTCTTCGCCATACATGCTGGCAAGATATCCGTACGTATGGCCAGCAGCAGTGACAAGATGACCGCCATTTCGCCCGGTAGCGCCGCTCACGAGCGTCCGTGCCTCAAGGAGGGTAACATGGCCGGCCTTGACATTTTCGCCGAGACCAGGATGCTCGAGTAGTGTCTTTGTTACACTACATCCTGTAATGCCTGAACCAATGACAACGAAATCGGTCTGTTGGATCAAGGTCGGGGACTGGATGGAAGCGACGGTAGGGTGAGGGGGCTCCTGCCAGAGGGAGACTGTCGGGTTGCTTCTCGGGAGGCCAGGATCCTCCATGACTGCATCCCTGATCTCGGCCAGGAAAACCGGCAACTGGTCTAGCGATTGTCTCGTGCATCAGTTGAGATGTTTGAAAGAACGGGACATGGACGACAGGGAGAAACAGGGGGTAAAACACGGGCTAGAGGGCCATGGCAAAGTCTCACCTCGAGTGTTCCCCATGTTGGGTGGATGAAATTTTGTACAATTCCTCACAAGTCTGACTGGTTCCTGGAGGGATGGATGGATAGATGGATAGTGAAGTATCTCAGCCTGCGGTGAGAGCTTGCTTTATACACCGTGGGATGTTTACGGACTTTCTATTGCTGCCGTTTCCCCCTCGCTCGTGCTTTGCTTCAAAACAGCTTTTGAGCTGCTACATTGTCCTTGCCCCGCTTGATCGTAAACGAGGGGTTGTGATCGTATTGAATATCCGCTTGTAGACATGGCGTTACGTCGGCCCCACTTGATCCCATGCCAAGGTCGTACTTCGTATCTTGATGCCTTTGAACTCACCGAATATACATGTCATCGCCAGTCCCATGAACGCCCTTGACGCCAGCCTGCCTTTGTTGCTACAGTCTTCGCCATAAAAGGATCTCTTCTCGAATGCCATTAGAACTTACTTTAGTACTCTTGAATTCATTTCTACCTGACCCTTTATTTAATTATTTCTCGCCATGCCTGCGTCTCAGAGTTTCACCGGTGAGTTTGCAGACCTCTAGGGTAGGGTGGTATTGGTTACCCGCAGTCTTGCGTGACTCTCCTGGAGCTTCGGGGTGAGAATCCGAAACTCCGGCACTAATACGGTTAGGCATGTAAAACTCCTTGCTCCTCTATTCGCTGGGTCTGTTTGGAGCGGGCCCACCTGGCATGAGAATATCCCCTTTGACCTATGTCGCACTGAGCGTGCTAAAAGGATCAAATATCAAGTAATCGATAATAAGTAATAGTAGTATATTAATTAATTATTATTTAAGGTTATCTCTAGTGCAAGGTATTCTATCCCGTAGAGCTACTTAAAGCATATAGTTAGATTATTAATATAATTATTTTATAAGGCTGTAAAGATTATGCCTACCCTGCGATAACCTGCCTCTCAATTATTCTTTTGTGTTAGTGTCGTAGTAGCTAAAAGGAGATCCGGAGACCACCAAGGATTGGGTGAAGTGATTATATGCAGACAAATTATTTAAAGGTGATAAAACACCAACATGGTCTCATGCACTGGCACGCTGCCCTCACCTTGTCAATTGTGGAACTATACTAAAAACATCGGCCAAGTCTTTATTTCAGCATGACTATTCAGCATCATGAAACCTCACACTCGCATTTGACCAGTGCCATACAATCAGAGGTTGAGGCAAATGCAGAAATCGCCCCCGGCTGCAACGAGAAGTCACTCGATCAAACAGCCCCCAACACCGACACTGATTCCGAGTCCCTCGCACCAGACGAACCGAAGCCGGGAACCGTCGTGGGCCTTCGTTGGTTCCTAATCTGCGTTGCCATCTTCTCAGCCAACCTGCTGTACGGCCTCGACACCACCATAGGAGCTGATATCCAGGGCGCCGTGTCTGACACGTTTGACAATGTGATGCAACTTGACTGGCTTGGTGTGGGGTTTAATCTTGGCTCTACTGTTGCTATTTTGCCTCTTGGCAAAGCTTATGGCATATTTGATACCAAGTGGCTTTATATTGCCTGCTTGACCATGTCCTCAGCCGGAAGTGCGCTCTGTGGAGCCGCACCCACCATGAATGCCATATCGTGGGACGAGTGTGGGCTGGCGTTGGCGGCGCGGGCATGTATCTTGGGTAACATATCTACGACTACGAGAGTCAAGCATCAGGTTGGCTAACCAGAATACAGAACGCTGAACCTCGTCTCATCGACCCTTAATCCGCGACAAGCTTCGTTTTACATGGGCTTCATCGGCTTCGTCTACGGAGGCGGCTGTATCCTGGGTCCAATTGTCGGCGGCTTGCTGGCTGATAGTGCAGCGACCTGGAGATGGGTAAGTGATGCTGCTGGCATTCTTTTCTCTCGGCTGCTAAACGCCCCTCGCTGCAGGCATTCTACCTCAATCTTGTCATCTTCGGGGCCATGTCCCCGATATATCTCCTAGTACTACCCTCGTTCCCGCGCCAGGTGGGCCGCACATTCACCCAGAAGATGTCCTCCCTCGATTGGCTCGGCATCGTGTTGAGCGCAGCAATGTATGTCTGCTTTATCCTGGCCTTTGCCTTTGGCGGCGTCCCATGGGAATGGTCGGATGCCCGCACAATCGCCCTGATCGTCCTCTCTGACGTTTTTCTCGTTGCCTTCGCTGTCAGTCAACACTACGCCTTGTTCACCACACAACTTAACCGCCTATTTCCTTGCGATCTCCTACGAGATGTCCGTCTTGTGTTGCTGTACATCTGCATGGCATGCGGCGGCGCGGCTCTCTTTGTTTCTGTCTACTATATCCCACTGTACTACCTCTTTGTCCACGGCGACACGGGTGTTGAGGCTGCGACACGCTTGCTACCCTTCATATGCGTCTACGTCGCGGCTATCCTGATGGCTGGCTACGCAATGCCACGTGTAGGGTACCAGCAAGTTTGGTACCTGCTGAGCGGGATTCCTCATTGCGGGCGGCGCAGCTATGCTCACTGTCGACGTTACGACCTCTTCCGCGCGCGTGTATGGATTCTCCGTGTTGATTGCGGTCGGTTTGACTGTCTGCCAAGCGGGCTACGCCATCGCGACCCGGCTGGCCAAACCAGGGCGGGAGCCTAAGGCGATCCAGTTCCTGAACATCAGCCAGGGGCAAAGCCAGCTGCTGGGGCTAGCGATTGCAAATTCCATCTTCCAGAGCACGGCATTCAGCGGTATCAAGTCTATACTGGATGAGATAGGATTCACGGATGCCGAGATACAGACAGCCATCGCAGGAGCCAAGAGCGCCGTGTTGCAGCAGGTAGGTCCTGAGCTGAGGCAGGAGTGCATTGAGGTGATTGTTCGGGCGGTGAGGTATGAGTGGGTGTTGGTTGTCGTGGCGGGCGTGTTGCAGACGACATGCTCCTGTTTCCTGCCACGGAAGTTCTAGAGGTCGTCGTCTCGGACGGAGGTGTTCTTTCGTTCTATAGGGATCATTGAATCCCGGAGCCCCCCTATCTCCGTCTTTGGCTATGCTTATTGGTGGGTGTACTGAGGGCATCCTCTGGCAAGATGGTATGGAATCCGAGCCTTGTGACACGTACGTGACAGTCAATCTCTATGGAGGAGAGCGAGGATGAGATTGGACTTGAGTCAATGTTAGAACTTTACGTGGACTAGTTAGCTTTCTTAATAGAGCAAAAGAGGTGGCAGACATGTCTCCCGACTTGTAGACTGATTTTTCATATCGAATTAAAGATTAAGAAGTGAAAAGCGAGGGAATATCATATGTTACAGTGTAATAGCAAGCCACTCCAACCCCTGAGGTCTCGTTATGGAACCTGGCATCCCTTCAGGCCCATTTCGGGAACCTCCGGACCCAGCTGGCTCCGTAGAGCAGCTCGGATGCTCGGGATTGGTGCTATCAACGGAAGCAGTACCGCCGCTTCCCGGACTCTCGTCTTCCGTTGCGCCGTCCACGCGGTCTGCTGGTGGGCGAATGTTGAGCTGGCTGGGGCTGTTGGATCTGGATATTGGTTGTGCTGAATAGTTGTGCGATGGGGCACCACTGAGATAGAACGAAGGGTTGTCTGTGTCTTTCTTGGATCCGGTGTTTGTTGCACCAGCGGGCCGGTCGACACCGGAGCGGCGGTTCGCGCTGCGTCTGACGTCTCGTTTGTAGCCAGGCATGGAGCACCGCGTGCACTTCCTGTTGCCCCCTGGTCTCGACCCACGCGGCTCAACATCACCGTGGAGCGTCAGAAAGAGACCGCATGCGTTGCAGAGAGGCTGTCCCTGGGGATTCCGACGCCACAGTGGCGACGCTTTCGTGAGGCAATTGGTACAAGCCGTGGAAGCCTCACCAACTGGCTCCCCAGCAACCCCTTGCGTGTTGGCCGTAGAGCAAACCGGGGGGCGAGGCGAAGAAGAGGATCGCCCGGGCGCCGTTGGAGAGGAATTAGAAGGGCTGTCCGTCGTTTCTGGTGGCAGGGAGATTGTGTTCGACTGGGATAGCCATTCGGATGGACTGGCAAGTCCCGCGATGCCGGCGTTGAGGTTCGAAGCATCAACAACGCCCATCGCTGGTTCGCCCATACCGGATGAAAGGCCCTGGGGCCACCCCAAAAGATGATTGGGCGGCAAGTTTATATTGCGTTCTTGAGCGTCTGGACAGGCATTAAAGCTCAATATGTCTTCCCAAAGTGTGTCGACTCCCAGATAGCGAGTTGGATCGCCTGGTGGAAAGGTTGAAATAGGATCCGCTGAGAAGTAGGGTTGTGCTAGAGTAGAAGGTAATATGGCATTTTCATCTAGATGGCCTATTAGTCGTTGACTCATAAGAGGACCGAGGGCGATCCCAAAACGGTTATCTAAAGAATGCTGGCGAGCATGACCTAGGGTGACCTCGAGCGATCTCTATGCATGCCATGAATAATATGCTCCCGTCCTCAGACTCAGGATGAGATGTGAAGAGAGCTGAAAACGAACAATCCTGGGGATAGAGCGAGTTCGCTGACGTGACGAGGAACATTAGGTTGAGTATTCAACTCACATGATAGCCCACCGAGAACCGCTGGCGGCGTTAGGGGAGAAGTAAATAAATATCGCACTGAGCGTGCTAAAAAGATTAAGGGTCAAGTAAACGATAATAAATAGTAATAATATATTAATTAATTATTATCTAAGGTTATCTCTTATGCGGGGTATTTTATCTCGTAGAGTTACTTAAAGTATATAATTAGATTATTAATATAATTATTTTATGAGGCCGTGAAGATTATGCCTACCCTGTGATAATAAGCCTTACTCATAAGGGCCAACGGAATTAATGACGGCGTTATTTTCCATGTGGAAAGCGTCCGGGATAGGGCGCCCTGCTGGATGAGAAGATCCCTGGGCGACGTTGCTTGAGGTGGGAGCATCGACTGGGTATCCGAGCGGACTAGACTCAATACCTGATTCATTGGGAACAGAGGTGCCAGGGCCGTCGGCAGGGCGCTGAGTTTTGATTCTAATCCGCTAGTTAGCTATCCCATCGGCTGTCATAAACCTCCATTCCGTACCTCGCCCATATCACCCCTGTCATCGTGACGGTACCTACGGGGAACCTAAAAACCCCTCTTAGACCCTTCATAGCTAAAATCACATATAATTCATTTTGCTTATTATAATGCCCTCCTAAAAGATACCTCCTAAGATACCAGCAGTTAATATCTATAATAATAATAGTATGACGATCATAGGGTTCCTAAGGGATAAACTAGTTATATTAGTTTATATTAGTACTAGATTATATTATATAGCCTTAAAGGGTAATATAATATTATATCTAATAATATACTTAAAGGTATTAAATATAACTAAGTTATATTAATAACTAAGGTAGCTCTTATATAAGAAAATATAATAAAAGTATTTTATATATTAATAATTAATCTTTAAATTAATATTCCCTAGGTTTAATCTAAGGTAAGATTAATATTTTTAATATTTAGTCCCTAGATTAATTATTATTTAACTTTATTCTACCTAAAAAGGGGATTAAAGTATCTTAATTAAAATCTCAATAAATTTAATAATAAAGGCTCTATACCTAAAGCCTAAGGTCTTAATAGGCTTAAATTAATAAGGTTTATCTATATAATCATTAATACCTTTAATAATAGTTCTATTCGCAATAAATAGATTATATCTTAACTAACTAAAGAGGTTAATATCCTCTTCCTATGGCAGCTCTCCCCTCCATCATCGACCTTCTAATCATCCTTAGGATTCTCAACCACTTAAAGAGATACAAATCGCTTCCATTATCCTCGTGAGAGGAGGTTTAACTAACAACTAATAACTATAACTAATAACCATAACCAACCAATCAACCAATCAACGACCAGCTAACTAGTTAATAATATAAAAGAAGATCACAATAGCTACCTTTCGCAAAGACCTCTAACTAAATAATCATAGCAGCGCGGCCAATACCTATTAATAGGCCTTCTTATATAATCAAGATAACCTTACTAAAGAGGTTTATAAGCTTCGCAAAGGCGCAAAAAGCACCCACAATAGGCTACGAGAGATAATCTCATATAGAGCTATTTAGAGCATTAATTTAAGCGCGCTACTTAGCGATCTAATACTAATTAAGCTCGCGATCTTTAGTTATAACCTTCTTCTTCTTCTACCTAGCCTCTTCGCATCTAATTCTTATACCTATATAAGGATTAACTTTATTAAAGAAGAGCTTTCTTTATTTAAGGCTCTTAAGATAAAGATAAAAAAAAAAGAAGATCTTATTAACGAAAAAAGGAATTTCCTCAAGGATATAAATAATAATTAGCACGGGGCATAGCTTATAACGCTCATAATA